GCTTAATCTACAGTAAAAATAATTTTACAGAAAGAAAAGAAAACACTGTAGAGCAGCACAGAAACAACAGAGACAACCTGGCAGAACGCTTCCTCCTTAAATGTCCCTGCATATCCAGACAGAACATGACTCTCCTATAAGTAGGAAGTGAAAGCAGGAGAAACTCTTCACCTCAATACACAGGGATTTATTAGCACCTAGACAGACCAGTACAGAGCAGATACCCAAATATTCACAAAATGACTGGACACTACAGTGCATTAACACTGCACTGAGAGAGAGGGGGGTTAAATACAGACACACTGACTGGAACTACAGTACATTAACACTGCACTGAGAGAGAGGGGGGTTAATACAGACACACTGACTGGACACTATAGTACATTAACACTGCACTAAAAAAGAGAGGGGTTAATACAGACACACTGACTGGAACTACAGTACATTAACACTGCACTGAGAGAGAGGGGGGTTAATACAGACACACTGACTGGACACTACAGTACATTAACACTGCACTGATAGAGAGAGGGGTTAATACAGACACGCTGATTGGACTCTTCAATACATTTGTATCCAGCCGCATCAGAACCCAAGTGAAAGAGACAGGAGAGTAAAAAAGTGAAAGGTGAAAATTAGCTTAATCGGCCCAGTCTGGATAGTAATGGGGGGAGGACCGACGATCCCAGGAGAAGCTAGGCTAACTGCATCCCTGTCAGAAAGAGGCTACTAAACACAGCGCTGGGGTCAGACCCCTGTGAAGGGAACCGAACGGGCTTAGAAGAGCAGACCTAATGAGTGCCAGGAGTGCAGGTTGGCAAACTCGATGGTCCAAAATAAGAAACCAAAATAGCTGCTTAAAACAGCGAGCCTCTTGGGAAAAATGCTGGATGGATAGAAGGGCAGAAGTGAGGCCACAGGAACTACCGCGCAGAGCAAAGGCTGGCTGGAGGCCGGCGGGACTGCTGCGCAGAGAGAAGGCCGGCTGGAGGACCCTGGGACTGCAGCACAGAAGGAAAATCGGCTGGAGGACGCTCGGACTGCAACGCAGAGCGAAGGCCGGCTGGAGGACTGCTATG